GTGAACCCTGCGAGCCAACTTACTAAAGTGAATTAGCCATCCTTGACTTGCGTGTGATGCCCATGCGACGCATTTGCAACACACGTGCAACAGTGTCCGCAACACGAGCACCTTGGCTTGGATGCATATACCTCCAAACCCGGTAGGGACTCTAACATCCCCATCTGGTGATGCAGATTTTTTTCCTGGTAGTCCACTACCAAAATTAAGAATTTTGAAATCACCGATTTGCACATGCTACATCCATACGTCCGTTCGAACCTAGGAAAAAATGGTGCAACATATTTCAAAATTATTTTCCTTTCGTGTGCAAATGTCTGGCAACAGGAAAATAATTTCCATGGGGGGTGAGTTCACTAGAGCATATACGTACATCAAACCCCAGGAAAAAAATAACCCATGATTGTTTGAGGCGGTATGGTTCTCCACATGACCTGAAAGGTTGCGAACCAGGATGTTTTTTTTTGGAAATGGTGCTATCATGATTATAATTCTGAATTTGCATGGGTCAGACATCAGGAACAAATTGTAAAAACATGTGTCAACGCGCATCCAAATTGCAATACATGCGTTTTTTTGCTGAAAATGCATGTGCCTTTGCAAATGCGAACAAATAGCTATGTTCAGTTTCACCAACATTGAAACAGTGACTTGAAGAGGCCGACCCGCAGGTGTGAAAAACAGAATCCAAGGGGCTGGACCTTCTCTGGCTGAATACTTGCGGATGGTTGGCACCACACGAAAAAAGGCGCATCATCCATAGATAGGACATGATGGGACCAATTCAAGAAATTTGTGTCAACGCGCGCCCAAAACAAACTAAGGTACCAAAAATTCACTTTTGGAATTTGGAAGAGTGAAAAATGTAAGTTAAGACCCCCCTAGGCATGGTCCTGTTCAAAGTAAAATCAAGGTATTCCCCAGGAATACACCACACACGTAATGACTATGAAAATGGGAGGGGGGAGAACATGTAACTTACATTTTACCACCCCCCTTCCCCCCCTCCTTTTTGGTGGTACCACTATATCTGTATGATTTAATTCGACGTCACGACGCCAAGACACATCAAACACTAAGGACAAAAAATGTAAGATCCCTATTGTAAGGCCTCCAAAACCTGCATTAATAGCAGTGACCTCAATATCACCAACTTACATTTTACAAGACCAAAATGCACAAAGGCATTGTTAGACAGAATGTACAAAAGAATGTGCAATCCACAAAAAAAACATCAAAATATAACAATAGAATTTCCAGAATCCCAGGGGCAAAAAATGTAAGATCCCTATTGTAAGGTCTCCAAACCTGCAGTATTTGCAGTGGAACCTGCACCTCAAGATCATCATCTTACATTATCCAACACCAGAATTTCCAGGAATCCTAAGGGCCAAAAATGTAAAATCCCTATTGTAAGGTCTTCAAAACCTGCACTATTTGCAGTGGAACCTGGACCTCAATATCACCAACTTACATTTTCCAAGGTCAAAGTGCCCAATACCACTGTCAGAAAAACTTGAACTGCAAAGAATATTTTAAAATTGCATGGTGTTGAAAGGATTGTTTCGGGGCCTGTTTTGTATATAAATTGGCCAGAGCACTCTGGGCAGAAACTGCGGCTGACTTTCTGGGAGTTCGGGGTAACATGTCTAATGGGGTAGTATGTTTATTTAACATGTTATAACTGTTACCTTTGCTTCTGTTCTTTTATCCCATGAGGCCGCAATGTTTTGTGACGTCCCAAGAAGTAACTTACATTTTTTGCGGCTTGGAGGTTTCAACAGGAATGACACCTTAAAAAAATATCACTTACATTAATCCTGGCACCAACCTTGTTATAACATGCTATAGCTGTTACCTTTGTTTCGGATTTTTCCCCATGCGGCCCCAATGTTTTGTGACGTCCCAAGAAGCAACCTACATTTTACGAAAAATGGAGGCTTCCAAAGAAATAACACCTTCAAAAATGTAAGTTACATTTAAGAAGGTTTTACTTCAAAAGTGTAATGTTACATTTTTATACATTTTTATACATGTTTGAGGCCCCTCCAAATTTCAGAGGGACCCACCCTAAGAATGTGCTGATTGTATAGGTTTTTCACAAAACGTAAGTTACATTTTCGAAGGTTTTAGCTTCAAAAATGAAAGTTACATTTTGGGGTGTTCCCCCCTGCCAAAATGGTAGGGATGTTAACACATAGTTGACACATAGTTAAAACATAGTTAACACATGGTTAGAAGTAGTTGTTAACAATGATTAACCAACATAATTTCCATAACTAGTTATAACAAGACCAGGATTTCAAGTAAAACTGGAAAGCACGGGTAAGATGTAGCGGCGCTGCTTTGCTGAGTTGCGGGCGGCATTTGCGATGGGATGCGATGAGGCCACGTGCGCATGCAGAAGTTGTAGGAAGAAGGGCATGCCATTTGTCCGAGTGCACACGTGGACATCCATCGCGTTGCGGGCAGCAGCTTGTCATGAGGTCACATCTGCATAAAAAAAAACCGGAAACAACAACAACAGCAACAACAACAACAACATATGCCCGAATTAAAAGGTGGACATTCATACGTCTGAAAAAATCGCCAGCTTGTTATTTAAAAACAACAAAACGTTCCAACATGCACCGGACGCCTCCGGACACCCAGAATCAAAGTTGCCTACCATGACCGGAGCAAAAACCGTTGTTTTTCAAAAGTTTCGCCAGGCAAGCCATGCTTTCACACAACACTGAAAATTCGGGACCGAAATGTCCAACAAATGTCCAACAGTCTTCGCTTGAGTTCAAATTGGTAGGTTAATTTTTGAAGGCCCCGTACAAAAATGCCAGGCCCCCATCGATACCTCTACCAAACATGTTTTGCATTTTTCCCCACCTGCCAGGTGAGGGTTGTTAGGATTTATCAGAGCTGTTCTCCTCCTCCGCCTCCTCCTCCATCTCCTCGTACTCCTCCTCGCAGTCCAGGTCGCAGTGGGCACAGCCGGACCTCCACCGCGAGCTCCAGATCCCAGTGGGCATTGCCGGACCTCCACCACGAGCTCCAGATCCCAGTGGGCACTGCCGGACCTCAACCGCGACTTCCAGATCGCAGTGGAAACTGCCGGACCTCAACCGCGACTTCCAAATCGCAGTGGGCACTGCCGGACCTCAACCGCGACTTCCAGATCGCAGTGGGCACTGCCGGACCGCAACCGCGACTTCCAGATCGCAGTGGGCACTGCCGGACCTCAACCGCGACTTCCAGATCGCAGTGGGCACTGCCGGACCTCAACGGGAAGAATGTGAGAAAAGATGTGAGATAGAATGTCAGAAGATATGCCAGATAGAATGTCAGAAGATATGCCAGAAAGAATGTCTGAAGATATGTCAGATAGAATGTCATAAGATATGCCAGAAAGAATGTTCTGAATGCCACAAGATATGCCAGAAAAAAAACAAAATATATGCCAGAAAGGATGTCAGAAAGAACGTCATAAGATATGCCAGACGGAATGTTAGAAGATATACTAGATAGAATGCCTGAAAGAATGGCAGAAAAAAATGCCAGAATATATGCCAGATAGAATGCCAGAAGATATGCCAGATAGAATGTCATAAGGTGTGCTAGATATGTGAGATAGGTGGGGACGTCGAGAGAAGATGTGCCAGATAGAATGCCGGAAAGAATGTCAGAAAAATGTATCTGTAAATGTGTTTGACAAAATATATGTAAAGTATTTATATCACTGCTTATGCCAACCGCATGATGACTGAGGGTATCCAGGAAAAAATGATGCTGCTCTTTGGTGTCCTTCGGCCAGGTTGCGTATTTAGATATTTCCTTCCAGAGTTGTGGAGTATGTAGCTATATATGCCATGGTGGGGATCATTCGAAGTGAAGTATTTTTGTTCCGACAAAGGAAGATGATTTTTGTAAATATTTGCGTACATCACTATTTCCCATTTCCCCTCCATCATAACATCATGTCCTCACAAAATTATTGTTTCCCGTCGAACAAACACAATTTTGACCGGTTGGTTCAATGGATTTTAGTTCATCTCTGAATTACACGACGCATTTTTTCATTTTTTGTGTTTTGTTTGATTTATCCGTCCCATTCCGTCCTCCATCAGGCTTTACAAAAGGTCAAGTTTTCCCAATCACCTTTACTATCCTTTACGCCGTGTTGGTATTGTGGTTTTCCTGTTTTGTTCCTTCCGATTCCCTCCCAAATTAAAAATTGCAAACTAAATAAACCAATCACGGTGGAACATTATTTTAATTTTATAACGCTCATCATTTGCTTCTTTGGCTCCCGAAGTAAAAAAACGAAAAAACAAATAATTCAATAATTCGTTTCGTGTTGCGAAAGAGGGGACAGCGGCGATTCCTTTATTGTATTTTTTATTTTTGTTTGCCTCCGGTTCTCCACAACATGGGGCCGTTGAAATCAATATTATAAATCAATTTTAGGTTTGTCAAGTCAAGATGCTCGTTCCCAGATTCTGGCAGCACAATTTATGAAAATTGTCGGGGTGCAAACAAGAATCATCGACCTTGTTTTCCCTCTTTGCAGGTGTCGTGTTGTAATCGAAAGGGTCGTCCATGGCGGCACTATCATGTTGTAACATGTTGTAGCAAAGTTCTTCCCATAACCAGTGACTTTGCAAAGTAAAACCCGTGGCGGCTTACCAAACGGGCGTCCATGAGAATACCTATCGTCGTCGCTGTTTTCAGCTGTAGCGGGTTTTGACGCTGAGCCGCCCCTTCACCCCATGCATCTCGGCCAGCAGACGGTAAACATGGAAGTAACCGCCGGGTGGTGCAAGGACAATGTCGATAGAATTGGAAGCATTTGCGAATTTGCGGTCATTTTCCCTCGTTGACGCATTGTCACAACAGGCACTCTTCTGGATGCAGAACCGCCGGGGCATGTATTGTTGAAACTAGTTGGTGAATATATTTGGTGACAATGCGCGGGTTCATCGCAACATCCACTTATCGCTACAACCCAGGTTGTTATGGCAAAAGGCCTCCGGCAGAGGTGCGTCAACATGTGTTCCAACCCATGCAAAGAACACGTTCCAGGAAATGAGAATGGATTCAACATTTAAAATATAGTATTATAAAATTATTTGTTGAAATTCAACTAAGTTTAATTTTGACCCGGTATTTTGAAATCAACCAGGGAATTCTTTCCGCATTCCCGACTAATTACCAACGTGCTAAAAATTGAAAGCGTCGTCCTGAAAACATTGATGAGGATATTGAAAATTAACCAATGCGCAATGCACATGGTGTTAATTAAGTTCCATCGACATTGGCGTGGGCCAAATCAAAATCATGATCCTCACCCATCAGGAGCACATTGGCAATCCCCGGCCTTTGATGTCATATTGTCATCAAAATTGTTTTTGGTTTTGGTTTTCCCTGCGCAGGAAAAGGGCAGACTTTAGCGTCACCTGCGTACAATTACGATCATTACGATGAGCCAAGACCTCGTGTGGGACGATGGGCGGGAAATGACCCAACATCTACCATACATGTTTATAGCCCCCGCATGGCGGCGAAGGTGCCTCCTGCTGTGGATAGGCCAATTCAGACACATGTGCCTGTGTACCAACCAACGCAGTATCATAAAATTTCCTTCAACGTGAGAAAAAAATAAAATAATCAACGTTCGCATCCATTTCGACCTTTTTTTTTCGGATATGGGCCAAACGCAGGACATGAACATTATTTACCCTCTTGAATTGCCCTTTGTTAGGACAGACCCAATTTCCCGACACACCCACCCTTACATTGCCCTGGTTAATGCCACGAGTCCAAATGAACAAATCCGGCCGAGGTGGCGTCGGGTGGGCGCACCACCCCGTCGTTTGGATGAGGCGGCCGATTTTCAAAACCAACCGCGCACATGGTTCCCTGTGTGACGACTGGCCGTAGCTACATGGTAAATTTAGTAATTAATCATTCAAGGCCTTGACAATCTCCATGCATGCATCTACACAGACGGCGGCAAAAGACAGAGGCACAGAGAGCGAGACGGAGAAACATGTTTCATTGTTGTATTATATATTATTATCTATCGGTTTGTCTCGGTTGTTACAGCGTTGATCGAGGCAGTTCCTAAACCAATGGTTGCAGGGTTTTGCAATTACATGTCCTTCCCAGGTTTGCTGGTTGCGCTGCACGTTGTCATCATGTTGTCATGTGTCCCCTCATCATCACTGCTTTATAGAGTATACCAATATACGTGCTGTTTTTGTGGATGTATGAAACTTAATTTTTGTTCATTGGGTTTGTTTCCGGATTTCATGTGTAGCCGTTGTATGATAAGACGCATGGCTCGTCGCGTAGCATCACTTGTAGCCTCCGGAAAATCAATTCGGATGTGTCGCAACTAGAAAAAATATCAGTATTCATTCATTAGGATACAATGTTGTATGTGTTTTTTCCACTTTTCCCCGCGGAGTCAAAACGGCCGCAGGGATGCAAAGCCGAGATCACCTCCGTGGACAGTTTGCGAAAGAGCATGCGACACAAGCGGCCACTTGGATGACGATTCAATTGGTATTTCATGGCGATTTGGGGATGATACAGTCATACATGTATAGCATCGTTCTTTAGGATAATGTAACAAAGTGACATAATTAACAACATACGATATCATACGATCACTGTTTGCTTCGGTTGGATGGGGAATGGTAGTTTTGAAAGAGCACCACGAGATGTGTATCAAGAAAGGTATGCTTAAAAATGTCGTAAACAAATATAAACGTGAAATTTTCAGGCCGCTTCAAAACATCATCCTTAATACGTATTTTTTAGCCGTTTCACGGATTAAAGGTTTGCGGATTGCGTGTTTTGGAGCTGCATTCAACATATGACATTGGGGTCTAGTTGCGACAATTGATTGCAGTACTCAATAGCGTAGAGAAACAATTGAAAACTGACGTCATGCGCAGCTTTGTCATGTTTTGTCTAAGCACTTTTTAAACCATTGAACCAAATAGCAATTGAAACACTCGTATTGGGGCCGCCCGAGCTAGTTTTGATACCAGCGCATTGAAAAGCGGACTACAAAACAAACCAGTGGGAAATAACAGCAATTGAACTAATTACATCTAATTACTATTCTTGATTCAGCCCGGACTAGTTTGACACCACAGGTAGTCCAAATTCATTCGAAAATAGAGTCAAAAACTAGCCGGGAAAACATAACAACAATTTTTAATCCCCCTTGGAATTTCCACTAAAGAATGGGACAACCCGGGTTGTCGCAAAAAACGTTTTTTTTTGCTAAAACATGTTGTTTTTCCACATGGCTAACCCCAACTCCCCATTTTTTGCAAAGGCTTTCTGGGTCAGGATTTTTTAGAGAGGGCATTTTGAGAGGGAATAGACAAACTGATTGAATTTTTGGGCACATGTGGTATGTTTATACATGTTGACATCCACATGGCTAACATGGACTCCCTACTTTTTAGAGTTCTGCATTTGTATTTGTAGTTTTTTTAAAAAAATTTGTATTTTTTTGTAGTTGGTTGCCTGGGCCATGATTTTTTAGATGGTCTTAGACCCCCTTGCACCCTGGGTAGGCATTCTTTAGATGTGCCATTTCAGTAGTGCAAGGTGGACCACCGTTTTTTGTCGACAGAATGCGGGAGTCAATGTTAGCAGGGGAATTCCAACAGTGATAATTTTTACTAGTATTGATTCTGCCCGGAATAGTTTTGACAGCTAGGGTAGTCGAAATGCATACAAAAATAGACTTAAAAACTAGCCAGTAGGAATCAAACAGCAATTCAACCACTATAGTGTTCAATCCGACCGGACCAGTTCTGACACCAAAGTAGAGAAAATACTGATTTTATCAGATTATCATCAGGTTTAGCTTAGGTATAAGGAAATTATACACCTTATGCTGGAAGTTGGGATGGTTTATCAAAAAGTAAAGCAAATATGTTAACTTCGATAGCTTAATCTGAAATTTCCGATAGGTGCCGATGATTTTTCATAATTTTGTAAAAGGTTTTGCAATGTCGGTTTTGGATTGTATTGCGCAATGCTTGTGAAAGTATCGTAGCAACCAAAAAAAAGATATGTACAGTTTATTTTGAACGTGCGTTGGTATTATTTTGAATATTTTTTTGGCGGCGTTAGGTTTACTAGAGGCGTTTCTATGAATTGTTTGCGTTGTTTTCTTTGATTGAAATGGCCGATTTTTGTTTTATATTTTTTCCCCTTTTTCCAGGAACGATCATATATGATGTCAATTCTTTTCAGAATTTTCCCTTCCAGGACCTTGAACATTTACTGCATGTTTTTCAGTTTTTTCTCCAAAAATTGTCACATTTGAAATATTTTCTTTTTGTTTAAGGACCGGTCACATATGATGTTTTTTTTTTTGATTTTCTCGTTTCAGGAACCCCATACGTGACCATATCCTTTATATACATGGACTGAACTATAGCTAGTTTCGGCTGAATTATAGCTAGTTTAGGCTGAACTATGGCTGAGCTATGGCCAAATGAATTTAAAGGGAAAAATCAAACTATAACTGAACAATGGCTGAGCTATAGCTACTTTATAGGGTGCAGAACTATATCTAATTTAGGTTGAAAAATGGCTGAACTATAGCCAATTGAATTTAAAAGGAAAACTGAATTACTGCTTGTTTAGGCTGAACTATAGTTTGTTTAGGCTGAACTATGGTTGAATTATAGCCAATTGAATTTAAAGGGAAAATTGAGCTAAAGGTGAACTATGGCTGAGCTTTAGCGGGTTTAATTTCAGAAAAAAACATATAGTGGAACTAGAACCAGTTTAATTTTTAATTTTGGAGAAATATTCAACTATAGCTGAACTATGGCTGAACTATTCCTTAGTTATGATTGAAATATTGTTGAGTCATCGCTGAATGAATTGTAGCTAAACCCAAACTAAATTCTAGTGTAAGTATTTTCAATTCTCAAAACACAGAGATGAACTAATTTTGTGTAAACTTCCATTGGGCGACAAATATTTGTTCAATATGTTTGTCCTTTCAATGCAAGCCAAACAAAAATATGTTTTGAAATATTGTATTTATACGTATGTATTTGGCTAAAAATATTTTAGTATATGCGAGATCCTCCATGTATTTGTTTTTTGTAATATAATATGCATATATATATACATCGTGTTTCTGCAGACCTTATCCTTCTCAGGAATTGTTTTTACAGACCATATCCTGTAGAGGAATTGTCTGTACGGATTACATTTTTTATTATAAATACAGGGTTTTTCAAACTTGAGCCGTTTGAGAAATTGTTTTAAAAACAATCACCTTTTCAGAAAACATTTTTGCAAAATTATTTTTCAAAACAACATTACGATCATATATGTAAACATACAGACCTCAGCAAAATCGTAACTTCTTTGACAACCTTCCATACTTTATGATATTTTTTTCCTAAGTACTTATGTTAAGTTTGTTCACATAGTTATGACAAGGTAACATAAAGATAAGATATTTGCGATAAGTCCAATAGGAACCTATATTTTGCCTGAGCATTTACAACTTAACGTAGCCGGCTGGCTGAAGTTACAACTTACTTGTCAGATTTTTTCAAACTTTACATACTTGCAAGCAGGTTATAAAGTGACGTTATAATCGGTCTACATGTCGATATAACTCATCAAAATTAATGCGCTTACATAACTTTAAGCGTACAGTCTCCGTACTGAGTCCGCCCCGACTGGTTTTGACCCCAAAGGCATCAAAAGTAGACTTAAAAGCTAGCAGAGGGGGAACCAAACAGCAATTGAACCAGTATTGAGTCCGCATGGACTAGTTTCGACAACAAAAGTGGTCCAAATGCATTCAACAGTAGACTTAGTCAGCAATGAGAAATCGTTGCGCATACACTTTCATAGCTAGAGGTCACCAAGTGAATTCATTCTTGTTTAACCCATCACCGCTGCCATGCTGTATGCGCCCGGATTAAGGATTAAGTCGGACTAGCGCCCGGAACAGGAGTCCCAGGTTAAGGATTAGTTTTAGCCTGCGGGAGATTTCGGAGCACCCAGTTTTTAGGTTCCAGTAGTGATAACATCAAACAAAAACCGATAAAACCACTTGGTTTTTCTATTCGGCCAGGCTGACCATGGCTGACCGTATTTTTTCCTTGAGTTTGCTAGCCTTATTTTGAAGTACTTTTGTGCGCGTGCGGTGCGGACCCAAAGGAAGGGTACCCAGTGACGTTTTTTTTTCGTCCACACATGAAGATTTCCCCAGAGCCTGGTATATAATATAGATGCCGGCGCATAGATCTTCAACTCTAAGGCGGCCCAGTGCTGATCTCTCGCAACCGGTTCCGGTCGTTAAACATTTGGGAAAATTGTGAATTGTTTGTCATTTACTGGCAAACCCTTCCCGAACGAAACGGTTGCCGATCATCAAGAAATCGACGGTTAAATTGCTATTCAGCCAGTTCTCGATGGATCCCGCCCAAAATGCATGTCGATCGTCAAAATTTGAATGTGGCATTGTTGCTTTGTTAGAGTTGTTCGTGTGAGGACATTTCGGTGCATTTCAGATTTGATGGTTGGTTTCGTGGACATACGACCATCATGGAAGCAACCTCAACACCTTACCTGGACATTTTTTTTGTTGTCAGTAGCTGGTTGTTTGTATAGTCCAATCCGAAACATGTGTGGCAAAAAACATGTGTGCCGCACAATTTTAATTTTGCAGAATGACAGTGCTCTTTTAAGAGGAGAACTGTTTGATGACAAGGCCATGGCATTGCCAAGACACCATGGTGACAGGCTGTAAACCGTCATGGCTATTTTTTTGGCATGTTAGGCCTGCAAACTGAAATTCATTGAGCGTTAGCGAGCTGGCAACAAACCGAAGAATGTTACTAAGCCACGATTGTTTTCCCAGTTTTTTTTGACATATTGTTTTTACTTCATCGTAATCTTCTTCAACGCCACCACCATTTCAATTACCATTCATCATGATCATCACCATCACCTGAACAAGTGTTTTAAATTCATTGTACAGTACCGCATTTTGGAAAAATCATCGCGTGTATAATTTATTTTGATAACAAATATGATGTTTATAAATAACATTGTTTTTGATGATGGGCATTTGCCCAGCAATGATGGACGCAGCTCACCAAATCTAAGGATGTTGCCAAGGAGTTTGCAGCCATTAAATGATGTACCAATGTTTCGACAGGCGCAGTGGTTGTGTGTTGCCGCCAGGGACCGTGGTTCAACTACCAACCAACATTTTTGCCGAAAAAACATTACCCAATCATTGCGTGTAACGTCAGTGTGATTGTCCATGTTTCCATTCTTGCCCCATGTCGCCACTTCAAGCCTTCAAGCGAAAAAGTTGGAATCCCTCCAAAATTGGCAGTCTATTTTTTATTGGACCTAATGCGGTAAACGGTAAACCCATGCCATTCACCATTCCCAATAGATGTTTACTATTGAATATTGGATACGCTCCTTTTTCGGGTGACTTCAAAGACCCCGGAAAAGGTTTGGACAGTTTGTTGGATGGTGACCATGCCGGGCTGGGCCCAATCCTTTCACCATGCCATTCCCAGTAGCATTTTTCCATTTCTTGGGCGAGGTTTTCTGATTGTGGGAACATGTGCAAGTGGGGGTTTATACCATGAATTTCTGGTGAAATTGGGGATGGTTTATCGATGTTTATCGTTGGTTTTTCCATACTTAGCACTGATACTATAGGTTTTGGGGATTCTCATTTGGCGGAATTTCACCAAAGTGTTCTGCGTCACCCATTTTTGATGCCCGATCAACCATACTCGGACTCGGACACGTGACCCGGCCACACGTGACCAGTCCAGCGACCAGCTGCCTCTTCGGCCAAAGGACAGTAATGACCGCAGGGCTTTGTGTTTGTTTTGCAAGAACCATTGGACATTTGTTCCCTGAGATTTTCTGAGAATGGGGTACCCCAAAAATTGATTTTTTTGTTTTTTTTTTCCTTTGACTTTAATGCCGTGTGACAGCGGTAGAGACAACCAGCTACGCGTGAAGTCCCCACCAATGATTGTGATCATTAATTAAACAAAATAAAAAACACAAACAAAACCAACAAAAAACAACAAATTCAGGGGTGACGACGAGACACACCATGGGACAGTCGAATGCACGGATGCAAAATGACAGATGCCGGATCGAATGCAAATGAATGCATCCTCCCAGGGTGGATACACAGGTGCCGATCTGTGTGTCCACTAAGGACGGAATGGCATACACATTTTCCTCTTTTTCCCCATTGGGGTGACAAAAATAGAATGTAGTTTTTGATACGGCAGGGCACGGGTGGTTAAAGATGCAGTCAGTTTAACAGCAGGGACCCAAAAACTATTTCCAAGATCCTTCAGGGCGCCTGATTGCGAGACCCATTCACCAGGGAAGATAGGACACTGGTGGTGACGGGTCCAGTTAACAATACGGTTCCAAGTAAAACTTTGCTGTGAAAGTTTAAACTCAGTTTCAGCATATTCCAAGTTCTGATCAACAAGATAATATTGGCATTTGGCTGATTTTTTTCCCTTAGGTTTGACTGGAAGGGGTACTATGGTTTTTGTATATAATGCAAAGTCTATATATGGGAGCCGTCCGTAAAAGCAGGTCACAAATTTATGAATTGATGCGTTTACTTTGCTTTGCGCGATTGCTAAAACCTGCATCGCGATAGGCTGAGCGATTGGTTGGCGATTGGTTATACGGCTACCACCCTATTACTACTACTACTACTACTACTAGTACTACTACTACTACTACTAGTACTACTACTACTAGTACTACTACTACTAGTACTACTACTACTAGTACTAGTACTAGTACTAGTACTAGTACTAGTACTAGTACTAGTACTACTACTACTACTACTACTACTACTACTACTACTACTGCTACTACTACTACTACTACTACTACTACTTTCGAGACCAGAACCATGCCAATAATTGACATGGCCGCGCGGATTCCGCGCGCGCGGAATCCGCGCAGATGTTTTCAGGTCAGAAGGACATTCAAGCTAGCTCCAATTGAAAACAGGTCCGAAACAGGTCAGAAACAGGTCAGAAACACCAAAAAGGCAGCACTTGCCTAGCATCCCATCCATCCATCCATCCATCCATCCATCAGCTCTTATCATTGCTACTAATACTACTACTACTACTACTACCTGCTACTACTACTACTGCTACTACTACTGCTACTACTGCTACTACTACTACTACTCCTACTACTACTCCTACTCCTACTCCTACTCCTACTACTCCTACTCCTACTCCTACTACTGGTATTACTGTGAGTTTTCCGGACCGTTTCCGGACCGCGCAATTTTCTTTTCTTCTCAAATATGAAAACGAATGCGTTCATGGGCGGATCCTTCTACTAGTGTTGCTACTACTCTCAGTATTACCACTAGCGCCGCTACCACTGCAACGCCGCTACCACTACTACACCGAGGAATTTTTGCCTTTGCTTTTCTCCACTTGACAGAAGTTCCACGGAAGGGTCAGAAATAGTCAGAAACCAGTCAGAAACCGGCCAAACGCAACCTCTCTCTCTCTCTCTCCCTTGCCTATTCCCTCACCCTCCTACCAGAACTCCTACGCCTACTCCTATTCCAATTTCCACTACCACTACTGCTAGTGCTACTGCTAGTGCACTGTGAGTTTTCCGGACCGTTTCCGGACCGCACAAGCTTATTTTGCTCCCAAATTTGAAATCGAATGCGTTCACGCATGGATCCTTACTCTCATTACTAGATTTGCTACTACCCCCAGCACTACCACCACACCCGCTGCTACTGCACCACCCTGCACCACCACTACCACCACTACCACTAGTACACCTAGGAATTTCTGCTCTTGCTTTTAAATCCAATTGCACTCGTGTGAAGGGTCAGAAACGAGTCAGAAACCAGTCAGAAACCAGTCAGAAACCCGTCAGAAACCGGCCAAACGCAATCTCTCTCTCTCTCTCTCCCTTGCCTATTCCCTCACCCTCCCATCAGAACTCCTACGCCTACTCCTATTGCAATTTCCACTACCACTACTGCTAGTGCTACTGCTACTGCTAGTCCTGCTGGTACTACTGTGAGTTTTCCGGACCGTTTCCGGACCGCGCAAGCTTATTTTGCTTCCAAATTTGAAATCGAATGCGTTCACGCATGGATCCTTACTCCCACTACTAGATTTGCTACTACTCTTAGTACTACCACCACACCCGCTGCTACTGCACCACCACTACCACTAGTACACCTAGGAATTTCTGCTCTTGCTTTTAAATCCAATTGACACGAGTTCCGCTGAAGGGTCAGAAACGAGTCAGAAACCAGTCAGAAACCAGTCAGAAACCCGTCAGAAACCGGTCAAACGCAACCATCTGTTTCCCCCTCCCTCCCTCTCTCTCTCTCTTTCTCTCTTTCCCTCCCTCTCCCTTTCTTCCCTTGCCCTGCTACTAGAACTCCTTCTCCTATTCCTACTCCTACTCCTACTCCTACTCTTACCCCTCCTACTACTACTACTACTACTACTACGACTAGTACTACTAGTACTACTAGTACTACTAGTACTACTAGTACTACTGCTGCTGGTACTACTGTGAGTTTTCCGGACCGTTTCCGGACCGCGCGAGCTTATTTTGTTCCCAAATTTGAAATCGAATGCGTTCACGCATGGATCCTCATTATATAATACATAACTTATATTTTATGTATATGATCTGATCAACGAAGAACAAACCCTTCCGCGATTGCTCACTGTGGTACCGCGGTTGCTACGCGATTGGCTGCGCGATTGAGGGCTGTCCGGGAAAAGGTATTTTGGACAACCCCCATATAGTTCCAACATGGCTGTTGGCCTGGATTCCACATTGGACCATTGCAACAACTGTGCCCAGCTGCTCAACCTATTCCAAACAATTTCACCAAAAGGCCAATTTTCAGGGCAGGCCTGGGGCACATGATGGACAAAGAACGGACCAACGGGGATACGTGTTGTAAAATCGATGACGGCATCAGGTTGAATCTTAATCGGGGAATCCGTGACCTTGGATGCCATGTGCTTAACAAAATTACAATATTCAATCAGGAATTCTTGTTTTTCTGCCGATATGGCATAATGGCTAGAAGCTTTTGCAAACGTGGGATTCCAATCAAGGAGGGCTTGCTTCGCATAAGCGTCTACAGTATTATTTGCCATTGCTTGCCATTTCAAAGAAGGGTCGTCAATACTCTCAACATCAGTATGGGCTTTAGTCTTAGTGGAATCAATTATACATGGGGGACGGCTACGAATTTGAACCCAAACCCTTTCCCACAAATCATGATGATCCTGAATCTTGGGTGTGACATTACAGGAATGACAATCACAAAGATACTTTAACATCGCTAGGGCAGCTTCACAATCAATGTAAAGGTGAACCCGATAGCAACTCAACAAAGCGCCCCATATTGCAAAGACTTCACCGCGATATGCACTATGATCAACACCTGGAACCGGGGAAGCAAAGATCTTTGTGTGATCAGTTTGAAAAGGCTGGCACTTCACTGCAGCACCGGCTGAGATGCAACAAATTTTCAAATCTTGATGGAACGCCGAGCCATCAACAAACACATGCGCAATCTCCAAATCGACCAGGGGAATCACATTCTCCGGCCATTCTAACTGATTTTCCCACAACACTTTTGAAAAACTCAAATCCAAGGGAACCAAGCCAAGAAGTTTCGTTGCAGCTGATTGTTTTGCTAACCATTTGAAAAGAGGTTTGGCATTGAATCTTTGGATTTCATACTTTTTACAATTAAAAATGCGATGTTCACGATCGTCAATTACACCACAAAGAGAACATTCGGGGTGAACATTGGGATTGAACTTTGCATACATGTTGCCGGTGCAAGCAGCCCCTGTAAAGTGCGTCACCAACAGTTGTTTTTGGTCGGATGGAAACTTATTCAAGACTTTCATCATCAAGTATTCATCAACAGAACTTATATCAAAATCTTTCCGTGATTGGGCTTTGTGGGCAGCATGTGTAGTCCATAAGACGCGCAGCCAATACTTCCAGAATGTCACTGAACACGCAACCCAATAAAACTGGAATCCAAGAGTATGCTGGAGGAATCCATCTGGCAAAGGTGCCCAACCAATAGCTCTGAAGGTCTTACCCAGACTAACTGCCGGGCCTGGTCCTGCTTGTGAATTAACAATTCGATCAAGAAACCCAACTTTTAAGGAAGGGAAATTTCGGAAGAACCTTCTCCAAAACAAGCAGGCACGAATTACCCCCTTTAACTGTGGGTCAACTGGGCATGGGTTGAACATGGTTCCAATCCACGGGCTCGCACTTGCCTGTTTCCTATGCATTGCGGCCAATGTTGCTGTACGGATTGTACCCCAAAAATTGATGGTTGACCATTATTTCCCCACAACAAATGCAATTACGGGGCACGCCCCGTGTTCAGACAAACCTAAAAACGACCAATTTGAGGCTTCTGACTGGCAATGACAAAATGCACTTGGAACAAAGAAACCTGACATCAACCAGCGTTAAGAAAATAATAGAAAATCATAGGATATCATAGAAAATCATCATCCAGGCGCTTGGCTATTCCAATTTATTATGTTTTAGGTCCGGACCCCACAAAAGCGGTTGGGGGTGAGAAGTTGGTTTGCCAAAAATGTTCGCAAAAAAACGGTTGTTCAATGAACATATTATGAATGGGTTCCCCATTAGGTAATATATGCACAACATGTTTCATTGGTTCATGCTTATGTTAAACATTGTTGCTCAAACATGTTTTGTATATACGTCTCACTATGAAACATGTCTTTCAGGAGTCTCAAGTTGGTGGCTGCGTATTTGTTTGCTAATTCGAGTGTCCTAATCCTTTTTGGATGACTACTTATTTTGTTACGATCTGTTGAACTCTCGTATTATTTTTTAACGATGTCAGGACATGGATTGAAAAAATGAAACGCTCAAAAAAAAATAAAAAAACAATCAAACAAACAAACGCATGTTTGGTCATTTTAAATTAAGTATACAGCAAACATATTGAGATTCACCAGCCATCACAGTCAGCTGGTTCCAGGATGCGAGTCGACTGGCCCGGAAGCCCGCGGACGTTGCCGACTTTAGGGAACCACATTTTTTTAAGGTCCCACAATGGAAAATCGCGGAAACAGGTAAAAAATAATCAACAGAAAAGTGATGCAAACATGTTGGTGACCGAAATCAGGAGGGAATAACTGTCGTATTTCTGTTTATGTATAATTATGCATTTAGATGTGTGTATATTCTTAACATTATCGTGGAGGCCCCTTTGTGCTTCTTCTATTGCATTTCATCTCTAAGCCATGCCCATGTGATTTCTCTCCGTCACCAGATTCTGAGGCCCAAAGTCTTAGTAGCGTCAGGGCCGTGGGAGCTATGGGTGTCCTTATCAAATGGGGAGCCAAGGAGTTGTTCAGATTTTCCCAAGCCACGAATACCGGGGATTGAGATCAAACGTTGCCAAACATGCCTCAATGTTCTCAATCGCAGCTTGTGGGCATTGGATTTCGGGCCACAGTCATATGCAACTGGTGCCGCATGTCGTTTGTTTCGAACTCTTTTCTGTAATGTTTGCTTTTGCAAAGTGCTGGTGTACTTGGGACATCATCAGATATTTATAGCGTCGATGTTTGAATTTAGCGGCGTGGAAAGCATGCTAAAAAGACAGATTTGGGGGATGGACGAGCATTCTGGTGTCCAATCAAGTTGGTTAACGAACCCTGCCCTCTGAATTTGAATCCTAGATTTTCTTTGAAAGTAAGTGCTTGAAGTGACGCCCGTTATCAGCAAAGACATATGTAACTGTAGTACATATACAAAAAATATTTCTATTTTTTATATAATTTATATATATATATATTAGCTAAGATAGATAGATAGATATAGATAGATAGATAGATGGATAGATAGATAGATAGATAGAGAGAGATATAGATAGATAGATAGATAAATAGATAGATAGATAGATGGATAGATAGATAGATATATATATATATACATACATATAAATATATTTATATATAATATGTTTAAAGTATTGTCATTCATCGATTCATCTATTTCTCCATCCATCCATTCAAGTCTGTGCCACGTCCCGGAGGTCGTGCTGCCACCTTTGGAATCGAAAGGCAAACGGCCATCGGAACCGAATTTGATGGCCAGGTGCGACGTTGGGACGCTGGGAAAAGCCCGAACTCAATGGGATTTGTTGGTGGTTTTCCAGCTAACCATGTGGGAGAACTAGAGGGCATGAATTGGCAATGCCAGAATTCATAAAGGGTCAGTGGTGGAGGCTACCATAAGTCTCCCGTTGTTTGTGGGTGGGCACAGTTTAGAACCTTTAGAGCCCACTAGTCATGTGGAACGTTGTCGATCTTAATCTTACCTTCGCGGCAACTCCACTTGAGGAGGAAACCAGTGGATGCATAGTTGTGAGACGTGGAACGTTGGTGTGGCAAGCAGGAAACCTTCGGAAAGCTTGAGCCAGACTTGGACTTGTGTTTTTTTTCCGTGGCAAAGCATCTCCTATCCTTTCTTGGTTGGCAATACCCAAGGAGCCGTTTTTTCCCATGCCCCTCGTGATATCAATTCCACCCCGTTCCTAGGTGAGAATATGTGAATATGAATCCCTTCCGTGTCGAAAACATGCTCCAAACCCTCATGACGCTCCCTTTTCAGCAGGGACCGGGAACATTCTGGCACCATGAGCCTTGATAGTTGCAGCCGGGACCTCGGCAGTGAGTTCGGAGTTATGATCCCCGAACATGGATAGATAGATGATGATAGATGCATATGGGGTTCCCTGTGCAATTTCCACCCATACGGGGATTAACATGGATTAACTATGTATAGGTCTAGGTGATTTAGAAACGTAAAACTGACGATTCTTAAGGAAAGGACGAAAACCTGCGCAGGAAGGTAGCGTTGGGAGGTGCCCAAGTCAATTGGTCATTAAAGCATGGTGAGACCGTAGATGCAGACATTTCAAGTCCGAATAGTCACTCGCGTTTGGCATTATTCGGTGATTTGCGCAAGTGTTTTTATTGCGTGTTTTTGTTTTCTGCTTTGTGATGTAGCCTTGGCTGCAAATGATGTGCACCTCCAGTAGGGCTCGGGCTATATGTAAGACCTACACATTAATTGTTATATGATCATAATGTCATTTGCCTAAAATTGGCATCCCCTATGATCACTTCTACAGAACTGCCTGGGGGTTTATTGGTGGAACTTGTTCATGGAGTCACTGGACAAGCCACTGACAATTGACATCCAGGATGTCAACCAGTCAATAACAGTTCATACATGTTACCATCTGGTTATTTAATATAGCCATGGAAAATCACCATTTTTCATGGGTAAACCATCTATAAGTGGGCCATCTATACCATGGCTATGTCAAATAACCAGAGGGTAATACTGAACACTCATCGTGTCCATTGATCCCTCAATGGTATCATTTTACATCCCATGAACCCACTGCTAGGTGACACTTCCGCGTCCACACCCGCGCAGCAGTTGCGTGGCCGCCGAAAGCCAAATCGTGGCTGATGGGAATTTGAACATCAACCATTGGGATCCAAACCAGAAAGGAATTCAACCGGACAATTACCCTTTGGTAAACATACAAAAAGCTATTGAACATGGCCATTCATAGTGAGTTTTCCCATTAATAGCATGGTGATTTTCCATAGTTATGTTAGTTTACCAGAGGGTATATAATCCAATTCTACAACCATAATTTCCATATAGTGGGGATACAATTCATACATATTGATACAAGGCACTGGATATATCATGGGATATGGCCAAAGTTGATTCAATCCAAAAAAGGAACGCTTCGCCTGACAAGGCAGACACTGTGCTCTGAGACACTGCACCTATTTGCAACAAAGGTGGGTTGGTGTATATAGCTATATATAATATGCTATAATATTCATATTCATCATCATCATCATCACCACCATAGTCTCAATAAGAACAATATTAATAGTAATGACTATAAAATTAAACATAAGTAATGAGTAACCAGTACTAAGTAAGAAGTATTAAGTAATAAGTTATAGCAACATTTTTTAGAAATAACACTCATCATAATAATAATCATTGTAACAATAATTTTAACAACAGCAACAACAATAGCAATCATAATTCTAATAATGATAATCAGACCTACATGTCGAGATTTGAAAATTCAGGTGGGCGATACCAGGCAATGACAGTAAGACTCTTTGCGCATTGAGCCTGGTGGTTGCTCTGTCAAATGAACACACGCGCATCCTGACTTGCCCTAAGAATCGCGCGGCCGAAAACTGGAAGGCAACCAGTAACCCAATCACTATAGTTCCTCAATACATCTCTGGTTGGTGGTTTGGAACATTTTTATTTTCCATTTCATATATGGGATAATTCTTCCCATTGACTTTCATATTTTTCAAGATGGTTAAGTCACCACCAACCAGATCTTATAAGATACGCCCACAGGAATCACGGTTTAGTATTTCAATGGGAATTCCAGGATCCTAAAATGGAGGTACGGTACCATATAAGGCCATATTTTGTGGCGATATTCCCTTCCAATTTAGGTTCCTGAAATGGCCATTGAGTATTGGTCCTATGCATTGGATGGAATCTGGATGGGACCTGAGGAATTCCCATGGCACTCCTGCCAGCCCTACAGCGACTCGGCAACGCAACGGAGGGCTGACTCCAGGAGACGATGAGTTGAAAATGCGGCTGTGTCTGAAAATGCCTTGTGTACCAGTAACTTATATATGCGTATATTGAATTAATTGTGGTGTTCTGATATGTTTTAATGGGAAGAACTTTGTGGTTTTTTTCTCCTCTGATTTTTGACACCAACCCATGTTATCTTGCGCTCACAGCAGGCGATTTTAATTGTCATGAAATGTCACGTTGCTTTTGAGCATCGCAAAAGGATGATTGACATTTCCGAGCCACTTGTTGAACATAGAAGATCTCAGGCTTCAAAGTTTCATATACTTTCACAACATGCCGTCGCCAGAATGAAGTTGTGCTCCTGGTCATGAATTAGGAAATCAAGGAAATACACAGCATTTCAGATGTGAGGGTTTTGTTCTGTTTGCTGGACAACTCTACTATAGACTATACGCCACATCATTATCATCATTCCATGGCATTCCCTTTGTGATGCTACACCAACAACTGACGTGGACAGGGATGGCAGCTTAAACCCCTTGACCATGATGGTTGAGTTAAAATCCCCAAGAGAGGTTTATGAAATTGGGTATATCCAACCAGCATCAGGATGATGTAGAAAGAAAAACAACAATGGTTGGTTAATGGGATGTTGTATGGCATTGGGTGACTCCGACAATACCAACATTTCGAAGCATTTTCCTAGGCCAATTCCACATTACAATACCCTCAGTGGAACTTAACCCATACCCTCTGCCTCCGTGAACTTTCCTCGTTGCTATTCTCATGGAGCTGTTGAGGCAACGTCTGGCAACTTCAACGCGCCCCCAGCAGTCCCGGGGCTCGTTCCTGCTGAGGAGGGGCTAGGGGTATCTACTGTATATTCCCTAAATGGGAAGCCACGGAGCTACTAAGAGTTTCCCCAACGACATGAAGTTTTTGGATTCAAACTTGGTTTTAGAGGTGTTTCATGCACAGGCAAAAGCTTATGGCCTAATTTGTTTCGGATTTTTTATGATCTAAATATCGTTTAATTTGTTAAATGCCTTAGATAAAGATGTTGTTGTTTCCAACTAGATTTAGATTTGCACCCACAAAAAACCTGGTTGGTGGTTTGGCACATGAATTTTATTTTCCATATATTGGGAATGTCATCATCCCAACTGACGAACTCATATTTTCAGAGGTGTTGAAACCACCAACCAGATATGGGTTGAATCACCATGAATCACTGACCACATTTTACAACTTGGAGATGTTCCGTTCCCGTTCAGGACATCTGGTGGCGCTGGAACCTGGACGTCAGCGGCTTCTCCAAGGCCTTCCTAAGGCGAGTGCGTCAGGCGATGGCGGCTCGATGGGTTTGTGCATCATCCCGTGGTGATGTGGTGATAACCTCTGGTAAACATAGAAAAAACTATTGAAAATGGTGATTTATAGTGGATTTACCCATTAAAAATGGTGATTTTCACCATAGTTTGTTGTAAATGGCCATAGAAATAGTGAGTTTTCCCATGAAACATGGTGATGTTCCATAGTTTTTTGTATGTTCAGAGGGAAAACCAGCTTGGTCAACCCCAATCCTCCTGCAATCGAACATGACTTGGTGGAACCACCCCCATTTAGTTCCATGATTTTCCCAGATGTTCACCTCAAAAGCTCTTTGGGTTCGGGGATTTCCATGGATTTCCCAGGATTTCCACGTTTGAATGGACCTGGATTCGCTGAAGATGATGTTAATCCACTTCGGTTCATTGGCCATCTTGATGGATCCCAAGAGTCTCCAAGATGATTTTTGCTGAGACATCCGACGGCTTCGTACTATATTTTAGCCAGAGATATGTTGATTGTTGTGGAGACATCGTGCTTCAAAACACAACTCTTTAACGATGTTTGTTGGGCATTTTGAGATTCCCTCAGATACCGAATCTGGAATTTCGACCAGCCATGACCTCAAGATAATAACAGGTATACTTTGCATATCGTTAGATTGTTCCAAGGCAAGTTTGTTGCACAATGCTGAAAAATCCAAAACGAAGGATGTTGCGATGTTCTCAGTCTTGGGTTGAGGGAAGATTCGCCAGAACACGGAATCAGTCGGATGGGTCATGACTCCGGGCAAATTATTGCGGCCTCGCAACGAGGTCACCGTAAATTTCATTATATATATATATATTTCTATAATTTTTTATATTATTTGATCATGCTTATTTATGAATCATCCCATCTAAATTGATTGTTGCTGATTTGGGAACTATAATTTGCTCAGATGAGTCGTGGATTTGAGATTCTCAAAACAAAGAGGGGAACCCGCAAGTTGTCCTTGAACAGGGCTTCAACCCATTAATTATAGACACATGATAGCCACAACGACGGTAAATTGATCATTTTACCATCTGGTTATTTAACCTAGCCATGGGAAATTGCCCATTTATAGATGTTTACTTAATAAAAATGGTGATTTTCCATGGCTATGTTAAATAACCAGATGGTACCTTTTAATTTCCCAATTTACATCCCTTGTGGTCCCTTGTAGCTGTGCTGTTTTTTTTAGCCTGAAGAGGCCTTTGATCTCTTCAAAGTGCCAGACGCCTCGGAAATCATGAATGAGGACCCAGAGATTGGGGGAATCAACCTCCATAATTCCATCTATTTCCGCAAAACGCCGGTGTTTTGACTCACAGCCAGGACTCTTGGATTGATTAGACACACACACACATATATATATATATATTCTTGATGATGGGAAATTTATAGGTATGGATCATAAGCATCCTGTTTTCCATAAATTTGGGGATACAGATCCATCACTCAAAGCCCAAAGGAGGTGACCACGGCCTATTCTCACATGGTTGCAGCCACCTGCGTTAGCTTCATCGGTAGCCTCTGAGGAAAAGGAATCGCATAGAGTCACATAGTAAATAACACTATTTGTCAACATATGTGATAACACTATTTATAGGATTCCTATGTGTTATTTATAAACACTATTTATCAACTTTTTACTATGTTGTAAATATCACTGTTTATAGGATTCCTCATATGTTATCAACATAGGTCAAGGAATCACATATGAATAACATATTACATGGAATCACTTGAAACAAAAATACTTGACCTCATTTTTTGAACAGGCAAATGACACAACATAATTCATGTACAGGAAAACGAGTACATCAGTAGCACTGATATCCCTCGAAGTGTTGAATTTGTCCTGTGCTGCCCATGGAGAAGAAGAAGTTCACAGAATCCAACGCCAAGATTCCTCAGGCTTTTCAGCCGGGGACGGGCCCGGGACAGCCCGGCGCTGGGATTCATTGATTCCCATCCTGCTAGTATAATAAAGTCTATTATAAATGCATTTAAATACATTTAAATGCCATTCTTGAAGCCCTACAATAAAATTCTTCAAGCAGCTCATACCAGTAGTGGGCATGTGTCGGTTGACTCTGTGTGTGTATATCGCTTGAGGGTGCAATTGGGGTTATTAATATGTACGACGATCGTAATCCCTTATGCTGGGACATAGCCTCCATTTGTAACCATGGTTTAAAAGCAACTTACAACTGGAACTGCGCCCTAAGTGGCATGATTCATATGATTCAGCGCGCCCATCAGTGAAACCATGTTCCTCATCGTTACTCTATGTTATTCTCATGTTTGTCAGTATCTCTCAGATTCCATGCGTTTGTACTCGCAAGAGAAAAACTACTTCCCACTTGTGATCGCTTGTGTTGCTATTAATATTGCCAATGTGGCTGGTTGCATGCGTTGCTTCAACATACTTTGAACATCTAAAGTTGGTGCCAATGAACCAATACCCTCTGATAATTTAACATAGCTATAGAAAATGACCATTTATAGTTGTTTTACTTATATTGAAAATGGTGATTTTCCATAGCTATGTTAAATTACCAGAGGGTATATACATTGTCTAGTATTATTGTAGGCCGCATGAATCGCCACTGGGGAGTATCCAGCCAAGCCAGGCAGTCGTCGACGCTCTGAAGACCAAGGGGGTTCAGGTCATCGGTATTCAGGCACGGGGAGGTTGACCGGCAAGTGATTGGTGGGACGTCTTCGCAAGTCTTGTACAATGTGGGGCCCCCAAGATAGCTAAGTTGGTTTATAACTCCAATAACTATGGTTTATGGTACTTATAACTATAGTTATGGGGGTTTATAAACCAACTTATAACTGAGGGGCCCCACATTGTAGATGCTACAAAAACGTACACTGATCGATGGGAATTTCAGGATCCTAAAATAGAAGTACTGTACCATATTTCTGGCCATATTTTGCATGGAATTTCCCTTAATTACATAGCCCTCACACAGGCCTTATATATGGTAGGTACCTCCAATTTAGGTTCTTGAAATTGCCATTGAACTGATGTAGATAATGGTAGATATTCATAATATGTTCCTACAATGATGTACATATGTAGGTTCGCATCCCACTCGTGGTAGGAAAAACATGAGTTTTAGCATATTCGATCACACATTACTTTTGCATATGTATACGCGTATATACATATATACATAAACACGCACATATATATATATACATAAACATATATATATATATATACATAATAGAAGATCACGTAAGTATACTAGCGGTGCTACACAACGTCATTAATTGGGAATTCCTTGCAACCGAGCGAGGCTATCGGCTTTTTTCAATGCCAAGTTGTGGGATTTTAATCTCCCTTGGGGCATCCGCGGCTAGTCGGCTAGTGATGATTGTGGGCGGTTTGGAATCAGTGACAATGGTTGGTTTATAACTCCAATAACTATTATGGTACTTATAACTATATAGTTATGGGGTTTATAAACCATCTTATAACTGGGGGGGCCCACATTGTATCTATACAATTATCTATAACCGCGGCCGCTTGCCAAACATATATTTTACTTCAGGTACAGTCACTGCCCTGAGAATCGACATCTCTCTAAAACCCATAGTTTCGGGCTTATATCCTAGCTTTTCCCGGCCCCAGAGGCTGCGGAGGTTGAGCCCAGCGAGCTGAAAGGCTGCACCATTGAAATTGGAGCCTTGGAGCTGCACCAAATGTGGCAAAGAAAATGCAAGGGCTCCCTGTCTGGTTTAGACTGGTATTGTGATAGTATTATAACATATTATAGCTGGGGTTTATATATCAGTTGGGTTGTAGAGCCTTGAATACTATATAGCCATATCCACCCTCATAAACCCAAACTTCAACCAAGTTATTAGTCGATTGTCTCGGGGGCCTCAACGTGTAAGAAATTGAAAGGGATTGCGAAAGAGAAGGGCAACTAGAAAACACATAGTCATTAGGTTTTTTGAAATAGTTCACCTGATTTTTTGGAATTGAAGTTCACTTGAACACATTTGATCATACCTGACCCAATTCTTGGGTGTGGCAGTGGGTGGGGCCCCCACCGAATCGAGGCACAAAGGGCAGCAGCATCACAGGAGCTGAAGTTGACTTTGTGTTAAGGAGACCATTGACGTCTGCCAGTTCCTGGGCCATAGGTGCTGATAACTGGGATCGGCCGGAATGCAATTGGTGGATTCTTAGGCCACCAAGTCTGCAATAGTAAGCTCTCTTGAAAGATCTTAAAACAGTAACTGGTTGGTGCTTTGGAACATGGCTTTTATTTCTCCATTCAGTTGGGAAGTTCATCATCCCAGTTGACTTTCAAGTTCCAACCAGAAAAAGGCGTGTTGCGCTGCACCGAGGTCAGTTCTTAGCCTTGAAACCTGCAGGAGACGGTGCCGGAAGTGGCCAAGTGAACTTTGTTTTGGGGGACTGGGAACTTCAAGTAAGGACAAGCCATGAAATCATACCAAAACATGTCAAAACAGATCACGGCCATGTCTATATGGGACGATCATCATAACGCGGATGGTAGCGCATTTCAACAGATTGAAACCAGTGGCTGACGCACGCGCTCCGATCACGGGCAAGGAGACAACGGAGACAGCAAGGTCAATGTTGCGGCGGTCATCACAATGTTCGACTTGGACAAGAAACGTCACTTGGATTCAGCGGGTGACTGGCAGGGATTTGGTACTGGCAAGTGCTAAAGTTGCGATTTCGGACCGGTACCGATGATGCTAAGCATGATGCTAATATCAACATATTTTTATGAACCTATAATAACTTATACTTCATGCGTTATATATGCTTTCACACGACGCTGCATTCAATTAGGCTAATTGATGCGCGAACACACACACACAGACAGAGAGACATTGGCAAGCGACAAAAGCCATCCACATCTCTGTGGGGATACGTAAGACTTGATAGACTTGCATGTGTTATGAAACCAGACGTTTCTACCTGCCTTATCGGGAATGATAGACATCTGCCCATGCATGCCCATCCGAATCTTGAATCAATCTTTTGCATACCAAGTTTACTATATGATAAAGATATGATTATATGTGTCTGTATATATATATATATACTTATATTCACAAGTTTGTTGAGCATCACGATGTCCCGCTACATATCGTATCATCTTATTTCACATTATATTTGCTATTAGTTATAAAACCTTAAAACCTTTGTCTATACTATAGTATGCTATCGTATACTTTAGAATATGTGTATATATATATATATATATATTACACTGGATGTTCTATACTTATCCGCTCGATTTTCTTGACCTTTCCCAGCCATCCATGACGAGGCAAGGCCATGGCCCTGGTGGAGGAACGCGTGAAGAGCACCTTGCAGGGCCTCCAGGCGATGATCAAAGCCTCGGAGGCCCAGGATGCAGGCGCTGGCTGCTGGTGATGGGAAGATTTTTGGGATTCAATATTGTACACAGAATTACCATCTGGTAAACTAACATAGCTATTGAAAATGGTTATTTATAGTGAGTTTTCCCATTAAACATGGTGATTTCCCAATATTTTCAATAGCTATGTTAGTTTACCAGAGGGTATATACATATATATATATATATATATATGCATAATGACATGTATGTAGATAGAATATATTTACGTGTGTATATATATGTGTGTGTGCATATGTATATGGAGTTGTCTTATTTGAAGAAGCGAGTTTGGTAAGTTTTCGGGCGTCTTTTCAAGAAGCACACTTCAAAACGACGCAGATTTCTTTGATGCTTGCATATTAACCACCTAGTTCAAGGGACGGAATGCAGTATATTTTGTAATTTTTGGGAGAGAGATCCATCTGAGCAGCTTTGGGGGTGCCTCGTATGGGGCCCTGACATGAACTGGCAAACTTGGTGCCCAGTCCGACGGTCCTGACGGAACATATTGGAGGGATGTTTGGAGCCACGGTTGTTGTTCATATCCTTTTTTATTTTTAAGGACTTCAAGATACCCAGTTATATCAGCATAACTATGGCATAACTGGTTGGTGGTTTGGAATATTTTTTATTTTTCCATATATTGGGAATAATCACCCCAGCTGACTAATATTTTTCAGAGGGGTTGAAACCACCAACCAGATAAAATCACCATTAAATAATCACCATTAGTTGCTTAATGAATGGTCGCCGAAAGACCATTTTCTGGGCGCTTTCCAAGTGACGGAAGGCGCGAGGCCAGAACTTGCTCGGAAGAAGCTGCTTGGAGAATCTGGCGCTTAGGGTCCTGGGGTCTTAGGACACCCAATGTCATCTGGAATATATGAGAGAATGTATGGGAAACACATGGGAATCTATGGGAAAATATATGGAAATGTATGGTAAAACATGAAGAATACATTGGGAAAATGCATGGGAAACACATGGTGCTGGTGGCTTAGTGGTGAAAACACATTGTGTACCTTCTCTCAAGGCTCTGGGACACCCAAACCCAATGCTTGAAGAAATGTCAGAAAAAGGCTGTGAGATGAGTGAGATGTCTCTGGGTCTTTACCATCTTTAGTGTCTCGTGAGTTGTTCGGGAAACTATTTTGCAGAAACCTGGCAGGAACCATGTTTTCCTTTCCATGAAACGTAGGGACTTCTAATAAATGTCCCCCTTAAAGAAACAATGAATCCAAAGAGTCATGTTTTTTTCCACACAGATGTTATATTTCTTTATATGTCTCATGAAAACTTCAGTTTCTGATGGTTAAATTTCATGTTAGCTCCAATAAAAACAACATCGTTTTCCAGTGCCCATTGTGGACTCCTGGACTCCTCATGGACGGCCCAGGTGGGAGATGCGAAGTCAACTGCGACTCAAGGGTCTGGCTGCTCCGTTAGCCTGTGTGGCTTGGGAGATGCTCCTGGGCAAAATAAATATTGGACATTGGCATTTTCGGAGCGACTAGAAGTTGTATGATTGGATGAAATTCGATGTATGTTATGTATGTTATATGATAATAAGAAGTATATGTAAAATGGTTATATATATGTATATATATATAATAACAAGGGGATTCATATGGGATTTTGGCACATTCATGGAAATTATATGGAAGATAATATGTATGGAATTTCACCTTACGCATGGGAAACTATAGGAATGAAATGGAACAATATGATATATTGCCAAGATGATGGGATATACCGTATCATCGCTTTAACAAATCATAGATGCAGTTTGTGCAGTCGACATTTACATAGATAGATAGCCTTAAAAGAAATCTGAATGTCGTGATTGTTTTGCATCCATGAAGGTAAATGTACCGGGTGTACCCTCTGGTTACTATTCAAAAGAGCTATGGAAAATAGCCCATTTACAGATCATTTGTGATGATTTACATATAAACAAATAAATATTTTCCAGTCCGCTACGCTAAATTACCAGAGGGGGATAGTAAAGTCACTCCCGCAAATGGATGACTTGGATACGGACAGTTCACGGCAGTTCACGGCAGTTCACGGATGTTCATGGTGCCAAGGGGGCCTGAGATGGAACCGATCCTCGAGGAGGACGGCACCGGCTGATGGCGGACATGTATATCCTCTATGACATGTATATTTCTATATATGTGTAATTATGCACATCCTATTGCATGTATGTGAATATATTCACATGCATGTGTATATGATATATATATATATGTATATATATCCCTCAAAACACTGGACCCCGTAGAGGCCCATCTTTTGTTTGCCCAAGAGTTCCAAGGCTGTGAATTTTGTCGCAGGATCGCTGGGCAGGCGATGGGGAGGCTCCGAAACTGAAGCGAAAGTTAGGCCAGCTGCGGCCTTTAAATTGCTGTGGAGAGAGTAACTTCCCAAAGAAAGAATAGAGGTTTTAGATTCACCAAAGATAGATGGATCCTAATTTATCAATCTATCACTTTTGATAATCTATGTTATGATCAATCTAAGAGGTGAAGTTCACCAAAGATAAGATTGATCAAAATTTACCAAAGATAGAATGATAATGACATATCCAAAATTATGAAATGATAGTATATCCAATACTTAATACCACCATTATCCATCTAAGAACCCCTATGTATTGTAAACAGGTGAAACGTACCACGATGTTCGTGGGGATGACTCCCTTGGCATCGCCATGCAGGTTGCTTTTCCCATTCGGGGCAGAAGCGCCAACGAAGGGAAGAAGAGGAGCAGCTGAAAGATCTGATCGGTTCCTACACTGTGAAGGCTGGAGTTCCACTTTGAAGATCAAGGTTTTTTTGGCTCAAAATTCTGCGATCCCAAATGGTGTGTTCTTTTGTCCGAAGAATAGGGATTAATGTATCCCGGAAAATGTCCCAATGGATTATCATCTTTGCCTAAGATATGTGTGTGTGGTTGTCATGCATTGAAGATTTTGATATTTACGCGTCATGCGCATAGTATTGCACTACATACATATTTGTCAATGTATAAACAATTCATCCACCAAAATCCCGTGGTGTTTTTTAGTTTTTCACCCATGACCCTCAAATACCAACCAGCAATTTCAAACCATGTCAATAGGAAAATCCTATGTTTTTATCACCCTATTTACATCCCCGTGGCAATTTCCACTCTAGAACTGGTGAACCTGTGCATAGTTTAAACGAAATTCTTAATGCATTGGAATTTTAAAATTGATGTCAGGCTAGTCATTTTATTGTTGGGGGGTTGGGCTAAGCATTTTATTGTAAAGGTAATTCCTGACTATTTTTAACATGTTAAAATTCCATTCTCATTTTATTGCAAAAAATGTTTGCTTGGAGCATTTTATTGCAGAATGGAACCAGTGTTTTTCCAGGATCTTTTTATATCGATGTTATTGGGCATGTCATTTTAGATCAGCGAATTTTAAGGAATTTGAAGGAATTCTAAGGAATTTTAAGGAATATTAAGGAATTTTAAATGAATTATAAGGAATATTAAGGAATTTTAAAGGAATTATAAGGAAATTTAAGGAATTTAGAGAGTTTTAAGGAATTTTAAGGAACCTTAGAGGATTTTTAAGGAATTTAAAGGAATTTGACGGAATTTGAAGGAATTCGGAGGATTTTTAAGGATCTTTAATGTTTTTAAATTTGGATATTTAAGGTGTTTTAAGGAGTTTTTTGGAATTTTAAGGAATTTAAAGGATTTTTACGCAATTTTAAGGAATTGCCACGAAAGAATGCCACCGTATTTTGTTGCTATAGAATGCTATTTAAAAAAAACACACTAAATATTTGGGCACCTTCACTCTAAAATACCCCTATCTAAGATGGATTTCCTGACCTCTTTTTAAAGATGCGTTTCTGAGGGTCTTCAAAATTGGATGAAATTGGATGATGTTGGATGCACATTCAAGCATGAATTTGGTGACCGTGGCAAGGCATTTTATTGCAGAGCCAGTTTTCATTGTTTTTGTGCATTTTAAAGCCTGAGGCCTATGCACAAAAGTTAGACCGCTCTAAAACTCCTGCACAACTTCACATAATGAATTGGCACCCCAATCTATTTACCACATTTTAGCCTTCAACATGTTTAGAATCTATGGTTGGTTATATACTCCCCTACATCCCTATCATTTATGCCACTTAATGAATCCCAATTATATCCCTTAACATGGCCATAAATTAGAAATACCTTTTGGTAATTTGTTACATAGCTGTGGAAAATCATCATTTTCAATAGGTAAACCTACTCTAATTTCCACAACAACTTGCTAATTTACCATAAGGTAAATCGATTTCCCCATTTTGTTGCTTCAATCCCCATAAATCACCATGGTGGCAATTTCAGCCTTCATCTTGCTTTCGTAAAGGTTTTGTTGATTAAATCACCATTAAAAAATTAAATCCCCATTAATCACCATGAATCATCATAAATGGGTAGTAAACCTAGTAAACCCACCATGAAGCACCATAAATTGCTGATAAACAGATAAACCATGATAAATCTCGTGATTTTCAGATCAGCAGGTCGTAAAGATCAAGGAGGACGAGTTCCCGTGCATGGTGGCCAGTTGGGTGCTGAGTCACACCAGCAAAGGGCTGCTGAAGGAGCTGGAACTGGAAAATTCCGTCGGAAAAGTTGAGAACAGAGGAAATACTGGAGAAACATTGGGAAATTTGATGGGAGATTCCATGAGTGTTAGTTTTGGAATGTGTGTGAGAAGAATCATGTGGGACCCCATCTTTTTCAAAGCCAAACTTCATTCTTAGTTTGGTTTCATCGTGGTCATTTTACGTTCTTTGGGTAGGTACCGGGTAGGTGCTGAATCAGATCACCCAGCCTCGTTCTGAAACAAGTAGATATCGGATGATATCGGTAGCCACTAAGCATAGCCGGGATCCTTGATGATCTTTGACGCGCCTCAATGTTTGAAGACATAGTTTCAAGGTTGCTCGATTCAATGGCATCTATATAACTGAATCTAACCTTCTATATAGCGAGTGGTAGTGAGGACATTCCGTGACAATCCACTTATCCAAATATATATTGTATGTATATATATATTGTTTTCTTTAATATACTTTTGTCCTTGTCAATTTCACATTATCTGTGCAGGGATAAAGTGTTGCATGGTTTGGTGCCGTGGGTTTGCTGTTCCCAAACCCGGATCCCATCCCCCGCCACAGGAGATGTCCTTCCAACGCATGCAGCGGGGTCAAGGCAAAGATGTGACTGTGAAATTGGAAGGCGCGTGGAACAAATGCTGGGGACTTCACCTGCCAAACGACGGTTTTTTTGTTCACGAAACATGAGAATAATATATGGTGGAAGGTCTCTAAAGGTGAACATTTCTCAATTTTCATGGGGAAAAAAGATGATAATCCATGGAGTTCTGATTGGAATAACTATTTCATGGGAAGCTTAGTAATGGTCCAGTGATAGATGATTTAGTTATCACTTTGTTTAGAGTAAATTCATTGGGATGTACCCAACAAATGTGAGGATATGGGAATTGTTCATGGGAATATCATGTCATTTTGATGGCATGTGTAACATAAGCAATAAGGATATGGTTTTGTCCTTGACGAGCAGCGGGTTTCATGTATTTATGGCCATGTTCATTGGGAAATGTATGAGCCTTTGGATTTTGGGGTAGTCTGTTCAAACAAGACCCAGATGATCACTGGCAAACCTCTGAAGATCAGAGGTGCGATTTGTGACGGCATTCTAGTCAGAGTATTCCTTACATTCATATGTTCATATCCTCCTTCCATATTTTACTGATCGCAGCTTGAACCTGCTTGATGCCTGATTTTTGTGACGAATATCACAAAGTCAGAACGGTTTTATATACCCATGCCGCCCATCATGGTGCATATCCGTCTCAGTTTGGATGCATGCTAGGTCCAAAAAATGGGATGCCTATGATAATTATATTGACATATGGTAGTAGTTGGCAAATATACCCATTACCGTGAAATCTCATGAAATTACCGAAGTGGTCCGATTTCACTAAAACTTTTTTGGGGAATCAGATTTACATGATTCTCAATCCCAATCAAACATTTAAAAACTAGTTACTCTCTGGTTATGTCAAAATAGCTATTGAAAATGACCATTAATAGTGGATTTACCCATTAAAAATGGTGATTTTCCATAGCTATGTAAACGTTTACCAGAGGGTAGCTGTAGCCTGAGATCATTTCTGAGCCCACCAGGGGCGCTTGACGGAAGCTCACTGAAACTCACTGCTGAGAAGGAGACTGGGACTTCGCCGCCATGGTACCGGCTTTGGTGAACTAACGTAGATGTGGATCATCAAGAATTTGTAGACGATTTTCCTGATTTTTCCTGTGGAAACCATAGGTTTTCATAGCTTTTCCACATCTATGATTAGTTTCATAGGTTTTCCACATCTATTCAATGGGAGATCTCCAGGATCCAACAGATGGAGGTACGTTAGTACCATATTTCTGGCCGTATTTTGTGGTGATATTCCCTTACATAGCCCTTACATAGGCATTATACATGGTAGGTACCTCCAATCAATCGGTTCCTGAAATTGCCATTGATCTATGTTAGTTTACAAAAAGGGTAATCCAACGTGGTTGGCAAACCCCCGAACTCAATGGATTTCTTGGGCACCGGTGGCTTGTTGGCTACCAGTTCAATCCTTTGGGGGATAAAACCATGGTAAACCTGTCGAAGAATCTACCCTCCTGTAATTTAACATAGCCAGGAATTAGTTTGGGAAAAGGGCCTAGTGTAGATTCGATTTATCATGATTTATCTACTGCAATTTTACAATGGTGAATGCCCATAGCCATGCAAAAAAAAATGCCAGAGGGATCCAAGTGGAATCTTGCACAGGGTATCTTAAGGTCTAAAACTATAGCCATGGCGCAACCTACATCCAACAAGTAAACGCCAACAAGAATAGTGCGTTACCATTTGGTCAACAAAGGACAAATTTGGTCGGAAAACTAAAAATCATTCAGATCCATGCTAGGCACTTATGGAATCTTATGGATACTTATGGCCCATAAACATTTGGAAGTACCAATTTCAGGAACATATTTATGGCCTTCTTAAAGACATTCCCCCATCGTGGCCATAGTCATCCGCATCTGAACATCCGTGACTCTTCACCAGTGATTTGTTGTTGATCCCAGGGTTGGCAAATCATTTGAGCCCTGTATATTTCCTGTATCTATTTCTGTGTTCGCCATGTTTGCTCCAAAAAAGATCTGGTTTTCCAGATCGAACAACACCTTTTGTATCCTTTCGTGGTTTACGACACCACCTGCAGAGTCGAGGACAGGGACTTCAGCAACAGCTACAACTTCATGTTGGGCATCCTTTGTCCCGAGAAGCAGCAGATCCTCCTGTCTTCTGCGGATCTTTTCACCACCTCTGTGCCTGAAATGCGATGGCGCCAAAGGGATGGAATTGGCAAAGGGACCTTGGACCTTTGCCGAACAACAAGATGTATATAGACATAGATATATCCAAAACATGGATGAATATGCAATGAGATATGCACAGTGATATATGTAAACTGTAAACAAATAGATTGGGCAAACATTATGTAGTTGCTTGTGTTGACATGCCATTTTGCCTTTATTGGCGAGTGCATCCTCGTGAGTGTTTTTCTGACTTGTTACATGCACACCATCGACATCAGTTGGCCAAATGTATGATTGGCCAATGGTTTTGGGGCGCTGGATGAAGACTTAAACCTCATATTTGGTTACGCTTCATGCATGTTGATGGTGGCATCTTTCCAGTCATAACAGGTTGATTCTATATGCATTCATTTGTTTAGTGAATGATCTAGCCATACATAGTTGGTTTCTGTTCCGTTGTTCTTATATTCTAGATCATTTAAACTTACGTTAGATCATTAACTAAACAGCGTTAACCGCATGACCTGATCGCATCATTTTGGTGATCCATTTAATCACCTGCATGGAACTTCTTCTATCGGCTCCTTCCTGGTAGGGGATGAAACCACACATTTGACCCAGTGGGGTTGTTGAATATGACTGGGCGATGGGCTTGCTCCAATTTTTTAAAAATAATATATTAGTTGGCTAGATAGAGATACACACACACATATATATATATACAGATATATCCCATGTCCAATTATATCCCATTATATACATATCTTACTAGATATCCTATAAAATCAGATTATCCAGCTCCAATGCATCTGCCAATTCCAGGTCTATCGGCCAGTGCCAGAGACCTCTGAAGAGGTGCCATCAGTTGGGGCGGATGCTCCGAAAATTGGCAGTTTGTGCCCCCAAATGGCTATTAAATCCTGGGCGAATGATGAATCATCAGATTCGGGGGCACCTACGATCGCTCAAGGAAGTCCAATTGAATGGCAGTTGAATGGGTGTTGTTTTGAGTGAAACACGCACCTTTTGGTATATGAGCTAAGCAAAGAAGCCTTTAAACGACTGTTACTGAGATTAGGCAAATCACAATATATATGTAAGATTACTTCTACAGATGGAATCTTGCACGAAAGATTCGTCCTCGGGTTCGTTTAACCGCGATCCCAAGTTTGACAGTCTGACCCATTTTTTATGTCAGGAGCGTATGAAGGGATTCAGGTCATCCATTCTTAGAATTCGTTGGACCATGTACAAGAACCCCTCAGATGATTACAATGTTCTGTTTGGCTATAAGAACCAATTTTCCATGAAATCACCATGAATTCATATCCGTCCAGTCACCCCGAGTCCGAAGGCCAAGGCCTACGCAGATCAACGGCGACGTGTCACGGAAGGCTTTGGAACTGACAAGAAAGTGCGGCAGAATCACCTCATGAGAGCGCCTTGGTGGATGGCGATGGATCACTTTGTTTTTGTTTGCGGTGTGGACCCAAGACATTCGAATATTTCAGCTGCATATATGTATACATATATACATGCACACAGATACGTATATATATATATATACATTATTATTTATATATAGTTATATGCATAAACAAATATTTATATCTATACTGTATACATATATATATATGTGTGTGTGTTTGTGCGCGCGTGTGTGAATACATTCGCATGTATTTATGGGATAAGGTGTTGCTGTTGCAACTGGTCTAGTGTTTTTAAATGTGCTGAATTCCCATACCCCAAAACGGGATGATCCACCCATCATGGCGACGGATTGACATACCTCGATCCGCCAGGAAATCCCAGAACCCATCAGTCCATGTTCGTGCCTGACGAACAATTTTTATCCAATGCCCATAGATACATAGATACATAGATACATAGATGGATAGATGGATAGATTCAGATAGATTCAGATAGATTCAGGTAGATTCAGATAGATACATAATAGACAAGCAGCCAGCCAGACAGACAGGCACAGGTAGACAGACAGACAAACAGACAGACAGATAGATAAATAGAGGTGGAGAGATAGATTGATAAAAAGATAGATAGATAAGCAGACATATATAAACGTGCGCAGAGAGAGGGAGAGAGAGAGAGAGAGATATATATATATACATACATTGTTGGCTTATGACATGTACTCGCACACATATGTACACATCTTTGGACGAAGACGGTCCAGGAACGTATCGAGCGCAACTGCGAAGTGGCAGATTCAGAGAAGATCCAAGCGTACGCCTGGGCGGAACAGAAGACCTGGTGGGACAGAATGGAACTGGTTGACCCAATATGGATTAATGGTGGTTAATAAATGTTAAAACTGGTTAAATCCACTGGTCAATAATGTGATAAACCATGAGGCTTCATGATCCCAATTCATAAACCATCCCATCATCCAACCATTTTTCTGGGGGTCATGATCTACATCATCCCAGTCGTAGGGGCATATGGCATACCCAGTCGTATGTAAACCTCATGTAAACCTCTATTAGGGATATTAGGGATGGTTTGTTATTGTTTTTTTCCATATTAACAGCAAGCAAAATAGATGTTCTACACAGATTTCGGAACCATGTTTTGTTGTTCAATGATTTTCAACCTTCAAGTGGGTCTTTCAAAGTACATTTCATAGTCATAAACTAAAAGAATATGAACCTCTTCCATGGGTTTGTCTGAAATTCGGGTACCCTAGTCCATCCACTAATTTGACATCATTGCCCCGAATTAAATGACAAGTTTCTTAAGAACCGCAGTTTTTCCAGACACACCCAAATCAAATATCTTGCTGAGATTGATCCCATGATATTTCCACGAAATACATGTAAAATCATGTAAATAGATGTAAATAGCCTTAAATCACCATGAAACCCCCATGAAATCCCATGAACTCACTGGTTCGAGCATCATGACATCAGCATTGGGGTTTTGACCATGGGAACTCCCGTCCTGGCTCCAGGCTGGTTGAGGCCAAAGTGGTGGAACAGCAGCAGGAGAAGATGCCGCCCTGGGAAAAGGAGAAGAACGAAAGAGAGAAGCGGCTCGGACGCAGTTTTCGGGTGATCTTAGACGTCTAAGGCTCTAACGGACCAGGAAGATCTGGGAAAAGGGAAAGAAAGATGTGATTTTGCAGCAAACTCATGTGGTTTGGATCCATTCAAAGTCCGTTTAGCTAGAAATTAAGCGATGGTTTGCTGACTAGGCTCTCGAGAGAGAGAGACAAGGAGAGATAGAGAGAGATGACTTTTCCCATTGCTCGGTGGAGAAATATGCTTAATCCCGCAATGAACAACGCAGATAAATGGTATGCCAAACCGGCCCCCATTCCTTTACCCCCCAAAAGACGTCTACAGAGAACCAGTTGAAACAGGCAGCCAAGTTTGGAGCAAAATTGGGCACCAGCTCATACCAGCTCTACTAACGAAATTATGTGGAACTTATTGGCAAGCACGCCCAACCCCATCATGAATCATGGATAATCATGGGTAATTATTCAAGATTGCGGAAAGAATGAAGTAGGGTCTTAAGCTTTGGACAGATTTAGGAAGACCTATTCTCTTCTTAATTAATCCCACGCCCCCGAAAACGTGGGAAATCGTAGGGTGTAAAGGGATCAGCACATAATCATTGTGTACCATTAACCATAGGGGTGTTAGATCTATGAACTTGGGAGAAGATTACCCTGAAGATTCAGCGCCGACGCATGGCCGCGCCATGATTCCAAATTATAGGGAGGAATGTGGATTTCACCAACCTATATAGAGATATTGGTAATAGATGGTAGTAGTATGTAATAGTAATGTTTTACCATTAGGAGAGGCAAATGAAATATTAGAACTGCTTCAAAGGTTGTCATACGAATTGCTTCTCAACCATAGAAAAGGGATGCTTGGTGATGACAAGTTAAAACCACCAGAGAAGCAATGGCCACCAGTCCAGGAACTTGCCGCCTTTCTTGGACGATTGGGATCACGCCAGCGACATCTATCGTGCAGCTCGGCAGCTGAAGCGCTGGGGAGTTACGGTTAGTTTGTCCTACTGCATTTCTCCCAAAATCGGATGAAAAATTACCAGAAACCTCGATATTTGGGGGTTAGAAAAAATCGTGGTTTCCCGTTTCCAATGAATTTCCAAGGAATTTCCTGGGAAAACATAGGTCTTACTGGGATTTACTGGGTCTCACTTGCAATAGTCCATCATGGTCCTCTATAGAAATCCATAGAAATCCTATCAACAACACATCCAGTTCACAAGTGATGTTTTTCGAAGCTCAGGGATAGGCGCACTATGGCGCAGTTGATCTGCACTGTTTTTAGCCAATATTTAGCTAAGAATAACCGTTTTCCTGTTGAAGAACTCACTAACATTGAAAACTTGGACTCAAGAAGACTTTACACAAAACTTGCCATAATGGCAGGCTTGTGATGATTTCACTGCGCTTTTGAGGGCAAGAAGGGTTGGCCTGGCCTGGCTAAGATGTTTGGTCCATGGTCCATGTAAATTAAATCAGATGAAAAGAGCATCAATAGAACGTGCATGCATGTGAACACATAGACCTAATGATCTATGGATACACTTCCAACCAAAATAACGAGATCTTTACGTGCTGTGTATAGATACATACATACATACATACATACATACATACATACATACATACATACATACATACATACATACATACATACATATATGCGTAAATTATATTTATGCAACAATCATATATATATATATATGTATATATATATATTAATATATATATATGCACACTATATTTGTTTATGTACCAATACATGCAAGGTGGGTTCCACTAGTTATGAGTTGGTTTGTCAGTAACTCTAGCTATATCCTCCACAAACTCTAGTTAGTCAAGCTGCAAGTCAACTTGGCTATCTTGCGGGCCCCATCTTGTAAATGCATATGATACCAGCTTGTAAGCCAAAGAAAGTGTGGGTGACGGCTTCTGAGGAAGGCCTAGAAGTCATCGCGTCGCAGAAGAACTACAAGTACGAGAAGAAGTTGTTGGATGATAGTACCACGGGATTGAATTGTGTCGATCAACATTTGATCATCAAAAGTGAGTAATTCTAATGGATTTAACTTGGTTGAACTGGTGATATATGGGAGTTCGCTGTTTAGTAACAATTAAACCTTAAAACTTGGGATTTCTTTAAAATGCATTTCACTTGTGATGTGGGGGAACAATGGGAAACATAACAGGGATATTGATTGATATGGTATTATGAATAGATGAACTATAACGAAAACGTTCCCTTTGAATGGCCGAACTTTTCAGGTTAGTATGATGATCTACGCATTGGCTGGTTATCCTTTGGATCATTCAGTGGTGAACATCGAACATTATCATAATTACATCATGAACTGAGATGCAACAAATGAATTTGCGTATGATCCTGATTATAAGTTTGCTGGTCGTTTTGATTCTTTTTATAGTTAATATACCGGAATGATTGGGATGTTGCTGGAGAGTTTGCCTTTCTTGGTGTTACTCTGCGCTTACAGGCCAAGATATGTGTCTTGCTTGGCTTAGCACATACTTTGGGTAGTTTCTGATCGTCAACTCAGACGCTCGCGCCGCACAGACCAGATACATGGTGCAACATGATGAATAACGGTAAATCATCCCAACATCATCCCAAAATCATCCCACTTGTTTTTTTTCCCACTCAAAGTTCTCAAAGTCGTTGAAGTTTTGTGATTTTTCTCACAGTTTTTCCACTCGTTGCCGAGCGGGCGTTCCTTGGCGAAAAAAGGCATCCGGCGCCTCTTGGAGCTGAAAGCGCCTGAGCTGGAAAAACTCGATGCGAAGAAGATCAATGACTTCCAGGTGCCGCCGAGAACAAAACGGGGCGCATTGGATGATGAGATTTGATCTACCATGATATAGCCAATGTGCACTGTGCTCGATAGATTTTGTTTGGTTTCTGAAAATCATATGATATAAAATGATATTATCCCCCAGCCAGTTTCCCCTATAGAATTGGGACACCTAGGTGCTGTATAAAACGATTTTTTTATACAGGTCCCCCCTCAATTTCAGCTGCCCTGTTTGCCTTGTTTTGGCGGGCTCTAATTTTATCTCAAAACTCCGGGTCCTAATTTTATATTTTTTTCGGTGCTTAAATTTAGTGACCTAGGGCTCCAATTTTATAGCAGGCTCCAATTCTATAGGGACATGTGTCGGTTTTGTATGGTTTTGTTCAGTTGCCAATTTTATAGTGTATCAATGCATGGTTTCATGAACCAAAGGGTTTCAATTTTGTAGCTACCTGCAATGTAATGCATTCCAGGGTCCCAATTTTATAGCACCTATTTGTTTTTGCATGTTTTTGTCTACATCAGAGCGCTCAAGCATGCGCAATGCGCATGCTGGAGAAGAGGAAAACATGAACAAAAACATGTAAAAAAACATGGGAATTGAATGGATTTGATGGGATTTGATTGCTTCTTACATCGTGCTTCTGCATGCTTTAAGAAAAAACAAAAAATGCCAAAAAAATGTCAGGTTTTGGGTGGACCTTGAGGGCTGCAATTTTATAGTCCCTAAAAACTGCCTTCGATCAGGGGCTTTCTATAGGGGGGGTGCTCTCCAAAAGGATTCCACGAGGCAAAGGCATGCAAAGGCACTGTAGAAGCAGCCTCAGCAGCTTCAGCTGCAGAAACAGCAGCCCCTAATTTTATAGTGGGGATATGTGATGATATGATATGAAATGATATGTGATGATATGTGGTGATTTGATGGGATTTGATGGCTTCTTACATCGTGCTTCTACATGCTTTAAGAAAAACCAAAAAATGCCAAAAAAATGTCAGGTTTTGGGTGGACCTTGAGGGTTGCAATTTTATAGTCCCTAAAAACTGCCTTCGATCAGGGGCTCCAATTCTATATAGGGGGGGGTGCTCTCCAAAAGGATCCCACAAGGCAAAGGCGTGCAAAGGCACTGTAGAAGCAGCCTCAGCAGCTTCAGCTGCAGAAACAGCAGTCCCTAATTTTATAGTGGGGATATGTGATGATATGATATGAAATGATATGTGATGATATGTGGTGATTTGATGGGATTTGATGGGATTTGATTGCTTCTTACATCGTGCTTCTACATGCTTTAAGAAAAAACAAAACATGCCAAAAAAATGTCAGGTTTTGGGTGGACCTTGAGGGCTGCAATTTTATAGTCCCTAAAAACTGCCTTCGATCAGGGGCTTTCTATAGGGGGGGTGCTCTCCAAAAGGATTCCACGAGGCAAAGGCATGCAAAGGCACTGTAGAAGCAGCCTCAGCAGCTTCAGCTGCAGAAACAGCAGTCCCTAATTTTATAGTGGGGATATGTGATGATATGATATGAAATGATATGTGATGATATGTGGTGATTTGATGGGATTTGATGGGATTTGATGGCTTCTTACATCGTGCTTCTACATGCTTTAAGAAAAACCAAAAAATGCCAAAAAATGTCAGGTTTTGGGTGGACCTTGAGGGTTGCAATTTTATAGTCCCTAAAAACTGCCTTCGATCAGGGGCTTTCTATAGGGGGGGTGCTCTCCAAAAGGATCCCACAAGTCGGGTCTTGTAGGAGCAATTGCCCGTAAAAGCGCAAAGGCTCCCATCTTGGCCAGCTCAGCCGATACCTTTACGTCGAACCACGTCATCGTTGGATGAACCTGCAGGTTGCGGAGGCAAGGTAGAGCTGCTGGCATTGTCTGTACTAGATCGGGAAATTTCTTGATTCGAGTTCGTAAGGCGGGACACATTTTCGGGGGTAGTCTTCTGTCGAAGACGCACTGATGGCACTTGAGGCGGCACGATGTTTTTCTGTGGGTGAATAGGTTTACAAATAGTGTTTCGCATGTTAGCTCTATCCTTCCATTTCCATGCTCGGCCACGAGCGGTGCAGTTGATCTTCCCTTCATCTTCTCTGCCAACGATTTTTCCGAGTTTACGATTCCATTCAAGGATATGTTTACTTTTGGCGTTATAGTCGTTAAGGAGCTTATCAAAGGCATCATCTAAACGTTTTTCGCTCTGATGAAAACCCTCCTGTTCGAGAAAAACAGTGGAGTTCTTCTGAGGGCAGGGCGTGTTAGTGATCTTAAGACGGATGTGCTTAGACCGAGCCACATACTTACCACACTTACAACACCAAACACCAGGCTGATTGTTCATTCTAGGCTTCAACATATGCCCATTCTGGTCTACAGCCGGAACTTCACCATGCTCAGCGTGCTGGGGCAGTTCTGATCGTTTGCCGGATTTATAATCCTGGATATAAGCTTGCCAAATGAGCACAAGAGTTTGCTGTATGAGTCTGATCTGCTGATCTGACATAGTTAAACTGTTAGGAATGAGAGCAGCATATTGTGTGCATGTTGGTAATTTTTGGAAATCGATATGAGCAATTGGCTTGCGAATAGCCGAAAAAAGGGGACAGGTCCAAGAGATATGTAAAACCGTGGGATCTTGGCCGCATGGACATGTCATGCATTGGGCATCCTTTCGGTGACGGGCATCTCTTTCTTCAGTCATGAGACCCCCAACTAGCAATCTACGCAAAACTCCTTGTTGCATAAACACGTTTTCATCAGCTGTAGCCAAGGCTTTCTTATCGAGTTCTTTATACAGCATCATGGTTCTCCTGAAATCAAGGTCTTGAACATCATGGAAATGCTGAGGTCTGTTTTTGGCAGCCTTCTTTAAAAGTTCACCCCGCCAGCAATCACGTAATTGATGTGCCCAAAGTTCGATGTTGAGCGAGCTATCGTTGAGCAATTGCAGCACTAAATCTTGAAACGGGCCTGCAAGTAACTTTCGAACCCTGTGAACTGGCCCATCAAATTTCCGGCTTGGACGATCGCGAAGCAAATTTTGAAAAGTACTGCGAAAGGAAGCATTATTCAGGCATCGAGCTAGAGTGCGTAAACCTTGGTAGGTATGGCAGAAAAGAGGATCAAGTTGCGAGGGCAATAATAGAGAAAAGGTAAGGTGAGGATTATGTGAGTAAAAGTCAAGAGAAAACATCGCTCTCATAATGCTGGACCTAATTTTGGTGAGAGATGGTTCATCCATACCAGATGTGTGCGTCCCCTGCCCATAGGTGGCTTGACTAGATGTAGCAACTAACATCTTCGCTTTGTCTCTCCATGGGAGAGGGCAATGCCGCATCTTGCACACTGTGGTATGCCATTTAGCAAAACGGCCTTTTTCAACTTCAGATACATTTGAATTTTGTCCCTCTGAGATAAATGATCCTCCGACAATTTTAAAGTTTTGGAAATGTTTATAGTCAGGGTGGATTTGCTTTTTTAAACATGGATGGCCGAATGTGAAGCTTTTGTTGATTGCAATTTCACCAAATTGAATTTCCTCGAGAGCTTGGACAATACGATTGAATTTTGCGATGCTATGGACTAAATCATGGGTTGAAGGAGAAACGCATGTCGCTGACACATCATCCGCGTACGTTCTGGCAACAACTTCTGGGCATCGAACTTGCGCTATTTCGAGAATGCTTGAAACTACGGCGTTCAAACCAATCATGGACAATGGGCAGCCTTGCAAAAGGCCATTATTAGCTACCCACCATGGCCCACATGAACCACGTAATTTAAAAACACGACGCATTGAAGAATACATGGCACTAAGTGGATTGGTGATTCTGCGGTGCATTCCCCTGGCAATCAAAGCACTGAAAAGCAATTCGAAGGGAACCAGATCGAAGGCCTTTTTAAAGTCATAGGCGATTCCTCCTGCTGCACTTTGTTGGTCAACAGCAGTTTGTTCGAGATGCAGGGCAATTTGCAAGCATAGGGCTTCTGCACCCCGCTTTGCACGGCATCCCCAAACCTCCGGTGGGCACCAAAGTTCTTGCCACTCAAGCGATGAACTGAAGCGGGCTTTCGCCCATAACCGGTATACTGCGCTTAGTACTGAAATAGGTCGATGTTCTAGGGGGCTTGGGGATTCACTCATACCTGTTTTTGGGATCAGCGAGGTGTACGCTTGACAGATTGGTGTGGGCCAAACAGAATTTTCTTCAATCCAATTGAGGATTTCAGCCAAACCATTAAACAAAGATGGAAACCACACGCTGAGCGCAATAAGAGACTGAGGCGTCCAGCCGTCTAGGCTGGGAGCACTGTGCTTACTTTTGGATAAAGTAGAGACTAGTTTAGATCCAGTTAAGGGTTCAAGATGCATATGAGACGACTTCATGAATGGCACAAAGTGATCTTCAAACGTCTTAACATCAGGTAATTTGTGTGCAAATTTTTGGAAAACAGGTAGCCAATCTTGGTGAATAGCATGTAACTGTGCATCTGTGTTAGCGGTGAAAGTGCCATCAGGCAATTTCATAGTGATGTCCTCTGGTGAGTCTGGTGACTTTAACCACTTATAGGCATTCTTTTCGGATTGCGCTAATTTGCTCTTCCAAGCTTTGATCCTAGACTGACGGTCCAGATGTTGAGAATGAATGAGATTTTGATTGAGCAACGATTCACACGATGAGAGGCTGCTAGCAGAAATAGGTTGATCGAGGAACTGAATAAACACGTTGCGGTCTTCATCTTTGAGACTGGGTACAACTTTACGTAAGTTTTTCCATGTATTGCGACTTTGTGTGCCATGGTTAGAGAGTCGCTGGAGTTCATGTACTCTACCAAGGGCGCAGGCAATCCTCCGCGAATGGAGGTTCAGCGTGTGTGCATCATGTTGGCGAGGAAACGTGCATTGTTTCTGGAAACGAACCTGCCCACGATGTTTACCAGTGTCATATTGCACCTTGTTAGCTTGGGAATGCGGTATTTTACATAACCACTCTTGCGCCAGATCACA